TTGGAAAAGTCATCGAAAATTGGACTACATCCGAGCCAGCTAGTCTATGCCATAAATCATATTTAAAATGTAATGCCACAAGATTATCTTTCGAATAAAAAAATTCATGTCAATCGAATAATACATCGTTGTTTTATGCAATTCCAAAAGTTCTATACCTCTCAAAAAACACCCTTTACAATTGAGTCCGAAGAAGAAATTAAAAGTTTTCTTTCTTTTCAATATACACTGCTGGCCACCGTAATGCAACACCCTGAAAGAAGCACACAAATAACCTGAAATTTACAACATGCATTAGCGGAGGTGAGATATGCAAATGATTTGGGAATTTCAGCGGAGACACACCACATCACGCGCCTGTGGCGCCACCTCAAAGCGCTATTTAAGGCTTGGAGATTTCGACGATTTCAAGTTCAGCAATTGTGTTTTTTTTTTTTTTCAAAAAGCGATCAGTTATGTCTCGTAGAAAACAACGATCAGCTTTTGATCAAGTATCGAGTTCGACAGAGGAAGAATAGTGGCCTACCGAGATTGTGGATTATCTTTCAGGAATTGGTAGTCAGTGTTGGACAGAACGAACAACTGTAATGCGGGTAATGTGACCGTAGGATGCAGAAAGGTACGACAGACCGACGTGGTCGAAATTCGTTATCCACCTCAGTGCACCACTTCACGAGAGGAAAGGCAAATTGTGCGCATGGCAGTGACGGATCGCTCAGTCACATCACGAACCGTAGCACACTGAGTCTGTAACGCATCATTCAGTGTCTGCGCGTACCATTCGACGCCGTTTACAGCATAGTGGTCTCTCCGTAAGACGTCCATTTGCTTGGTTTACCCTTGACGCAGAACCACAGACGTCTCTGCCGCCAATGGTACGATGAAAAGAAGGATGTGGGCGGCAGAATGGAATGAAGCTGTATTTACTGAAGAGTCACGCATCTGTCTGCAACACCACGATGGTTGGATTCGAGTTTGGAGACACCGTGGAGAGGATGCAGAACAGCTGCATTATGCACCGCCACTGGTTCTGCACTGGGTATTATGGTATGGGCCGGTATTGGATATCACTCTCGCACTTCTCTAGTACATTGCCGGTGCTAAACAGCGAGCACTACATCTCCGAGGTATTGGAGCCAGTTATCATTCCTTACTTTCGGGGCTTGTCCGGCCATATTTCAACAGGATAATGCGTGACCACACGTTGCAAGCATTGTCCAAGGTTCTTCGTCAATCACCAGATTGAATCGTTTTTCCTGGCCGGCTCGCTGTCCGGATCTTTTGCCGATAGAAAATGTGGTCCATGGTTTATAACGATTGACCTAGATTACACCCGCAGCTGTCACACCAGATCAGCTTTGGCAGCGTGTGGAAGCTGCTTGGTCTGCTGTACCCTAAGAACACATCAAAGTCACTTTGAATCAATGCCGAGGTGTGGCGGCGCGTGATCTCCAACAATGGCGGCTACTCTGGCTACTGATTCTGGCGGAACCACATAACAGAAGTCTATAAATTTAATCATTTGATACTTGGTCAACATGTTATCTACAAAATAAATTTTGTTGCGCTATCTTATCTTTCTTGGTGTTGCATTTTACGATGGCCAGCAGTGTACGAGTAACACCACGCATGAAGAGCGAGATTTCCCCAATATCCTTTAGTTGAATCCCAGCTGGTGGGGATGAAAACGCTTGAGGTGTTCAAGTGCTTGAAGGGTGGCACAGCAATGAATGTTAGTTGATCACGTGTGAAGGGCTTTAGGCAATTTCTATTCAAAACACACTCCTGACTGTCAGCTCCTTCTATTAGGTGAGGCAGGGACGCCCAGATGTCCCTGGACCAGCTGGCCCCGACCAGGGTCTCGGACAGAATGGATGCCTCGTCTCGTTCTCGACTCAGTCTTTATAAGATCGTAATTTGAATAATTTCAATGGTCAAATGTTATTTCCTTTACATTCTCAAGCTGGGAATGTTGGACGATATGTCAACTGGCTACATGTGATGACCGTCTTACATGTAGAGAAATAAGCCTACCACCATACACAACCATTACTGATTCAGTCAAAAGGCGGAAGTCGGTTGAGCCGGTTTGTTGGATTGTAAGTCATTTAAATTTGTTTCGGGTTATTGTTTTGTACGAGTATTTGACAACGTATGCTATATACTGTCTATTTTTAAGTCATAGGTGGGACCTACATTTGTGTAAGGGTCTGAGGTCTACCTTTGCGTAGAGGTCAGAGCCTCAAAGAGATCTTAAGATGTCCCTGGGTGCGGGTATGAAAGTGGACTCTATGAAAAGGCTCTAAGTAAAAATAAGTGTATGGTGTGGTAGATCTGGGTCTAGATTCGGAAGACCGACAAGACATAATAAATGCTGTCTTATCACTGTTGACAGCTGGAATATAGTTCGAAATTTCCAGTCCGGAGAATATATCCGAAATAACAACTGACAGTAAAGTTATTCGAATCACGATTTTATTGAGACCGAGTCGAGAAGGAGATGGGACCCGCCTTCGAGTTTAAGGCACCAGGCCCAAGCAGGCCCATGTGCCCAAATTTTTTCCTACTAACTGCTTGTATGGTGTTAAATTTATGAATAACGTTCGCTTTAATTCATTTTAAAGATTAAATTCAGCTTTCAAAATTATGTATAGACTTTGCTCTTGTACTGCCCACTTCTCTGCGAGCGAACGGCCTCGAAAATCTTATGCGAGAGATAGAGGGCCGACAAGTACTGTGTCGGTTCCAATGGCCCATTTTACATATCTTTAAAAAGAATTTTATGTAAAAATCATGGCCCTTATGTTGAATTTGATGAGGATTTTTTGGTAAATACTATAATAATGAAAAATCATAGCTTTTTTATACTTGGGGATAGGCTATGGAGAATGAAGATTTTATATCATGGATGTTGATTTGATACATTTTTTTTTTTTGGTGATACTATAATAATGGACAATTTAAAACTTTATAGCTGTCATTATATGTGTTTATAGATTTTTTAACTGTCTTAAACATTTATATATATTACTATGTATTTAGATTTTAACTGTCTATACATTATATATATATATATATATATATATATATATATATATATATATATATATATATATATATACAGTAGCGCACACAGGAATTTTTCAGGGGGAGTCTAGGGTTTTAAAGTTCTTCATTCTTGTATCATGTTCCTTTTGATTTTGTCGATTTAATTGAATAAATAATTAGCATTAATTAATAAAATTAATCATTAATAACAAATATTTAATTAAACTTTTTCGTACTATATACTTATAATTATAAATCAATCTGAAAAATATTGAGGGCTTTGGGGGGTCGGACCCCCAGGACCCTCCCTTTGTGTGCGCCACTGTATATATATAGACAGTGGCGCACACAAGGGGATTATAATTATAAGTATATAGTACGAAAAGTTTAATTAAATATTTGTTATTCATGATTCATTTTATTAATTAAATCTAACTATTCATTGAATAATTAGTTATATATAGTATAATAAAATAAAGTGAAGAATAATAGGACCCACAGTACTAAAGAAGTAAAAATTGGAACTCAGCAAACACAACAAAAGTAGATACAAAGTCATACGACTAAACTGGAGACCTATTATGATTTCTAAGGCTGACGCTGAATTAGGGTTAGCAATGCTTTATGGAACTACCTTCCCAGTACAGCAGAAATTTTTCGACATAATAGGGGGGACAAAAAACAACAGAAGTTGAAAAGTTAAGCCTAATACAGCACGTGGTTGTAGAGAACCTAAATCGTAAAAAAATTAGAAAAGAGAACAGTAATGAATCTATCAAGGAGAGGAATAATGAAACTTTTTAATAGAAAATATCAGGAAAAACTTACTCTTGTAAAACAAAAATCCTGAACTCAGAAATCCTGTCCCATAAGAAAACATATATATATATATATACACACACACACAGCAGGTTGTTTTCTTGAAAAGCAAAGCTCACGTTCTCCTGCTCACAAAAGCTGCCATATTGATTATTGTATAGTGTTTACACCGAAATAATTTGTGTCTACTACAAATTTAAATTAAAACTTAAGCACCTATTTTCTATAATGATTTGTTGTTTCTTTAATTTCTAGTTACGGAATCATTCATTCTGGTGGAGCAGGAAAATACTTGGCGGATTGGATTATGAAAGGAGAACCTCCTTTCGACCTCATCGAGGCAGACCCCAACCGTTTTGGCAAATGGACAACCAAGTAACTGAGATGTATTCTTTATTGTATGTATGTAATTTAGGTTTGAATGACCTGAGCCCAAATGTCATTTGCATTATACTCACCGTAATTATCTTTTTTTCTTTTTCTGCCTTCGTGAAAAATCTTTTTTGAAATACCCCAAATACTGTTTGAAACTGGAAAAATAACCCAGAAAAAAGTTTGTGAAGTGTACGAAAAAAGTTAGAAACTATCTATAACTATATACTGCTTTTTTTTAATGAATGTAAGAAAAAATTGTACAAGTACACATTAACCTTTTGCACAGATTTATAAATAGGGTGTTTGATCATCTTTTTAGGTTCAAAACACTCAAAAATTGAATAAATTCCTGATGAATGTTCCCTTCAGGTTGTAGCATTTTGAAATTATCCGAAATAGAAATTAAATTTTCGTAAGAAAAACTCATGCAAATTGTTAAGTTTGGCTTTTTAAAATGCGGTCAATGTAAGCAAACAAGTAACATCAAATAAATTTTAAAGTCACACAATTCTTAATTAGGTGAACAAAGAAAAATTTATTTTAGTTACATTTAATATAAATATGTATATACATATGACGGAATCATAATATTAAGTGACAAAATAGAAAGCGATTTTCCTTTCAATTTTCCATTTTCCTTTCTATATACAGAGTGTTGGACTATTTTTTTCTTGTGTTACTATTTATTCATTAATTAAATTTAATTATTCTAATAAAATAGTGTAGTAAAAAAGAAATCCCATTCTCAGAAATTGGGCCATTCCAGGTAGGATTGAAACCGACGATCTTTGGATTATAAATCCAACGCGCTATTCATTGCGCTACAGGGACACAACGAACAATTTTCCTTTCTTTGTATGCTGTTGGACTATTACTTTTTTGTTACTATTTATTCATTTTTTAATTTAATTAATGAATTCATATTTGAAAAACTGTATTAACATCAAGTGCCATCCACTACAAGTTTAAAACAAGTAATATAAAATTTTTTTTTATTTTAGCTACTTTTTATTAAATAGTTACAATTAACATAAATATGTATACACATATGACGGAATCACAACATTAAGTGGTAATTAATTTTTGTTAATTATCATTAAAGTATCGTATTGTCATCCAAAATAATCGTGGATTATAAAACTTCAGTTCAACTGAATGCTTTAAAACGTGAGGAAAAAAAAAACCTTTTCAAGTTTTGACACAAATCGCCAAAATGGTCGCATAGTCGCCAACGTGGCTGTATATGTAATTCTTTAAATAATTAGTTTTAATTAATTAATTTCTATTAATTATAATTAAAAATTATTGTATTGTTATCCAAAATAATCATGTATTTTAAATTTCAGCTCTATTGAGCGCTTTAAAATGTATTTTATTAACGATTGAGAATTCCACGAAGTTAAATAAATAAACAAATAAATAAATAGAGAGTGTGTGAGTTAATAGTAGGAATAGAAAAATGTATTTGAACACTTGAATGGATGAATAAAGAGTATTTTATAAAGGATTGAAAATTTGAACAATATATATGTATATATATATATATATATATATATATGTGTGTGTGTGTAAATAAATAAATATAGGGAGAGTGTGAACTAATAATAAGAATTGTGAAAAAGTTAATTTCCTTTATGGTGAATCCCATTATTGCTTTTATGAACGTCGTTTATATATAACTTAAAAATCATGAAGGGCACTTTTGTTCCAGACAGTATGTGTTTGATAAAGCAGCTGAGACGTATGGCATGAACAACAGTTACACCTATCCGAAAGAGCAGAGGTTCGCTGGCCGCCCCACTGTACGTCGTTCTGGGGCTTATGAGTCCATGAAGCAACGAGGCGCGGCAATGGATTTTCATTCAGGTATGCATTTCCTCTCGCTTTATTATGTCCTTGACCTTGTTTTTTTTTTTTTTTTTCGTTACAGAAATTTCAATTTGTTTTGACCTTCACTGCAAGCGTGCATGCATTAACTGTGTCCTTGAAACGCCAAAACAGGAATTAGAAATAATAATAAGCTTCAAATAAAAAGGATCGCGATAATTATTTCTAAATTGATCTAATCAATAAATAAATTCAGAAAACAATTAATGATAAAGATAATGATTTCAAAACCGTGTTATTGATTCCGTCAGCCAAATATACTCCCGCTTTGATTTGTGTTTAAAAAACAGAAATAATGACTTATGCTGAAACTTGAATTCGAATTGTGTTAAAAAGCCAAATCCTACTCCAACCCCCTGATTTTTGAAGTGTTAACTTCTTTAGGCGCGTTTTGCTGGAGAGTGAACTTGAATGATGCGTTTTAAAAAGCCAAGCATTGTTACGCTTGGGTTTGTAACGCTGGTAACAATACTATTGAATCATTTGGGTTTAATGAGTGATGTATCGGAGAAATTTGTGCAGCGAAATGTAGAGCAGAAAATGGTTAATAATTCTAATGGTTACTATTTATATTTCACCAAATCTAAGTATAGAGAAAATTATCGAATTCATTCACAAAAATTTAGTTACCTACACTGTGTGTGAAGCCGGATCAACTCTTCTGAACAAATTGCCTGTTATTTTAAGTGGGGATTTTAATGTAGATGTGTGTTTCAAAAGACAAATGAATGCCTTCAGCAGATTTTGAAAATCAAAATTCAATTTAATTATGTCAAATGATCCGAATGAAAGCACGACAAAAAGTACGGAACAACGCTTGACGGAGTTTCTTTAGATATTTAAATAATTTTGAATCTAAAGTATTTGTATATAAATATAACCTATTTCAGCTACCATAAACCTGTTGTTTCCTCCTTAGAATACAATTATTCACAAATATGATTATATGTTTCGCAAAAAAAATATTACTTTATGAGTACAGACATATGAATAAATAATTTTATAGGACAATACTAATATCCCCTTGTTTTTTATTCACCTAACTAATCCTTGAAATAACACTTTAAAATTTGAAATTATCACTTCTATCGTGTGTGGTCATAAGCACACACAATCTTTTTGGCACCAAAAAACTTTTTTAGCTAAATAGGGCCAAAAGAAAAACCACCTTTTTCAAAATGGCCAACTTGTGCTAAATCCAAAACACGCAATTTGTGTGTGTAACAGTTGCTAACTTAGCGCTAAACCTCCTCCCCCAAAAAATCGGCTACGGTTTCATCACCAAATCAAGAGATTCAGCTATGATCCAACCTCCAGTATTTATGTGAAATCTGTGGTTTTTATAACTCCACGATCAATCGTGGGGCTGATGTACGTTAAATGTGCCGCGGTTCAAAGTCCTCATGTTAGTATGATCTGGAAATTTAGTGAATGAGAGCTGTCCATTCAGATGACATCTTCATAATCTGGACCGTGGTTCCCTAATTGCAAAATTCGTCGCCAATAACCCTCTTTTAGTTTCTTACAGGGGATGACATCAATAATTAATCAATCATTAAATTTTTAAATATGTATTTAAATATATGCAGTTAGTTTTCAAAGAAAGTCTAAGTATTTAATTTTTCATTGCAATGAATCCTCAACTTGGCGAAAATAAAAGTAAATACTTCACAAATAAAAATAAGCCACACCAGGAAAGTTTATTAAAAATGTAAACTATATATATATATAATTTAGCCTTTGATCTCTTACTAATGTTTCACTTAATGTGTATGAAGAGGAATATTCTTAAAAAAAATGACAAGTATTAATGGACTAAATATAAAAACTATCAGTTTTTTAGAAGTGTTTTATTTAATTTTTGAATTGATGGTAAAAATGTATATCTTCTGTTCAAATGTATCCAGTTGCAATGGATTTAATTCACATGACACCTACTTTTACGTTTATTTGGCTTTTCCTGATGGTCACATGACAGATGCCGTCACTTCTACCTAGGTCAAAACGGATATCAGTCTCGAACTTCTTGATTACGTCATCAATACACTTCACTGTTGCCAGAGTCACAAATTTCAATGCAATCCTATAATAAAACGCGTGGGTACACAAAAGGCTCTTGATTTAAAAATGCACGTATAATAAAAGAAGTATATTTTCTTCTTAATTTTGAAAAACCTTTTGGAGAATCTTAATACTTGAACATCTTTACCCAATCATCGAATTGGAAGTTTTATCTAAATTTTACAATTAGAACTATAAGTCTAATGTCAGTTTTGAATTGAATGGAGAACACATGGTTATATTTATCATGTGACCGTCAGGAATTTAGCCCATTGCGCTCATTACTTTTAAGCAAATAAAATAAATATACATACATGTGCTTTTTTTCTCTATTTATTCAGGTTGGGAGCAACCGATGTGGTTCTCAAAGCATCCTGATGCTCATCAAAGCGAATACCAACCGAGTTTCATTAGAACAAACTGGTTCGAGCCCGTCGGGATGGAATGCGATTTGGTCATGAATAATGTCGGAATAATAGATTTAACACCTTTCGCAAAATTTGACGTCACTGGGCCAGATTCGGCAACATTTCTTGACAAAATGCTAGCAAACAAATTGCCAAAGGTATGTTGCCAAATTTTATCTTAGATTTGTGAAAAAGTTGAATATGCGAGTATTGAACTCTACTGAGACGGACTAAATACTAAATAGCTCTCGAATTTAAACAAACTACAGACAGTGACATTACAAGGCCTTGGCCAACTGGGATGAGGTTTCAGTCTGAGGGAGTCCTCATCTTGTTTTTGACTCAACTTCAGTAAGTTCATGATCCGAGTATTTTTAACTGTCAAATGTTATTCCTATAGACATATTCCTCGAAAAACCGTGAATTTTTTAGCTACATGCCATCTGGCAACAGTGGCAAGACTGCATTATTATGTCATGCCCGTGTCCATGTCTAGGCTTATCACCATTTATCGTCATTACTCAGTTAGTCAAAAGGAAGCAGTCAGTTTGAGTGGTTATTTGATGACGTATGCTACATACTGTCTACTTGAATGAGTCACAGGTGGGGCCTATTTTCACATTCGGGCCTAGAGCCTCAAGAAGTCTTTAGGACATCACTGATTACAGAAGAATCTCATCTATCCGGACTAATTGGAGCTCTAAGTTTTCTGGATTATAAGCAAAATAACGTCTAAAGTAAACCAAGGTACATAAATAAATACTTTAGCCAGAAAATGAATATGTACGTAGGCTGTTCAATAAGTAATAAGACTAATTTTACTGCCGCGAAACCACGCATCGGAATGTTAATATCTGTGGCGTAAGAAAAGTTTGCTGTCTGTATTAACAAAAGCTACCGATAGATGGCTGTTCTTGAGTATCATGTTTTGTTTCTTGATAGAGTCATGTTCTTGAGTATCACGTGCTCGAAGTAAAGCGTGTTTGCGGGCATCTACGAGACGCTGCCAGTTGTCGAAATGGAAGCAAAAATCAGCATCGGAGTCCTTTGATATGATTAAAGACTGAAACAAGAAGGCGACATTATTTTAAAACGCTTCATCACAGCAGACAAAGCTTGGTTGTATCACTGATCCAACCATAAAACAACAAAGCAGTGAACGGAAACATCCATCTTCACCTACTCCCAAGAAAGAAAAACTGTGAAATTGGCTGGTAAAAGTTGAGACCATAATTTTTTTTTTTTGATTATGAAGGAATAGTGTAACAACACGCTGTCGAACCCGGTACTACCGTAAACGGCTCGTACTACGTGAATGTCCTGCGAACAATGATACCGCACGTTAAAAGGAAATGTCCATTGCTCCGAAATGGCTTCCTATTGCACCATGACAATGCTCGACCACATATTGCTCATTGCATACTGGATGTTTCGCAGCAGAACTACGTAGAGATTTTACCACACCCTCCATACAGT